AGGTGGTTCATTTTGCCTGAACTCTCAGTCCTGGTATTTAATAAGACAAAAAAAGGTAGGCTAGGACCTGATTATCAAATCAGAGGACCCCAGTGTAAGGAGCTGTGATTTTGTAGTATTTTGCGTTACAGGGAAAGTAAGATGACTTGGTAAAGATCGGCCACTAGAACGAAAAGTCTATAAAACTATTGGGAATCTGTGTTCCTGGAGGATTTGGCTTCTCATCCAGAGGAGTTTGCTAATATAACAATCAGTAAATGAAGCCTTTTTGAAAAAGAAAAATGCTTCTGCTCTGGGTGCTGTATCTCAAAGTAGCAATGTGATGGACAGACATGGATATTTCCCAGCCTCAGTTATTTTTAAATTCTATTTTGTCAAAGTAAATATTACACTGGGCAAAGTTAAAGGAGTCAACAAGGCTGTTGCAATAGGGAAGAGAGGCAGAATTCAGTATTTAAGGGGAAGGAGAGAAGATTTTTAAATGCTAGGATGAGAGAGAACACAGGCCATCTGCGGTTGCAGATGTAAAAGTAAACTTTTCCTTTGCAATATGATGTAATTTTAAAACTTAGAGCAAGGCACTCACTCAAAGTACACTTCTACTCTCCCACAAAGAACTGAGAAATAAGGGTGCTATCATCCTTGAAGTTGGCATTTCAAACAGAATGCTTCCGGATCCTTGAGAGCAAGATTCCTGGCTTGTAAAACTGGCAAAAAGGCTTTTCAAATTATTAACATCTCAAAGGGATAGAGAAAGAATTTATAATTGCAAGTTTTCTGGAGTAAATTTTCTAAGGAAAGGGAGACCAAAGGCCTAATGTTTAGAAAGTAGCCTGTTTATATCCTCATCAAGCTTGAAGGGCCATTAAGACCATCTTAATTGTTTTCAATCTGCTTATAGCCTGAAATAGTAGCAGAAAGGACCTTTGGCCTCTCAGCCAAGAGATGGCAAACATAACCACATTAGTGTTTCCTTGAAAGAGAAGAATCATGAAGCTTCCATTTTAGGGATCTTTCTAGCAACAGAAAAGCATAAATCCAATGCTTACAGCCTCTATGGCCTGGCAACCTTGCATTTCTCTTGTTCAAAACTAGGTCAAAAGACACTCATCATCATGCAGCACAAAGTTGGAAGGTGTTTCAAAGCTCCCTGCTGAATGTAATGACCCAGATTCTGCTCTGCTTTATAGAGGACAGACAGGATACAAAGTGGCCTTTCACGTGCCACTGTCACTTTGGTTTTTTCTCCAACATCTATACTCACTGGTAGTTCATAAATTTCTAATTGTTAGTTTATAGAAATGTTAGATGAGCAAATGATTTACAAGCTGATATTGGGAGAATTTTAGGCATAACATAAAATACTTTGTCTTTTGTTATATCTATCTATCTACCTATCTATCTATATAGATATATAACAAAATGTAATAATAGAAGAGATCAAGTGAGCAAATGACAGGAAGGGAATAATAGAAGGTACCAGTCTATGTGTCCACTTACGTAGTGTGCTAGCTGGTGTCTGAGAGTTTTCTTGATAGGAGGATAAAAATAAATGCCTCATCGAAGAGGGAAAAAATGAATAAGCAGTAAAGATATCGGGCAGTCATTTGGTAATGTTTTCTTAAATTGAGGTTTGAGAGGCTTTGGAGAAATTAAGGAGGATCCACTGTGTCAAGAACTGATAGCTAACTATTAGCTGTAGAAATAAAGTATTCAATACAGGTACATAAGATCGCTTTAAAATGATTTAAACAGATAAAAATTTCCATGAGATCTGGAAATTCTGTAAGGTTTGAAAGAACGCTATGTGCTTAATTTATTTCATTAGCTTAGATATTAAGGAAAAGAATGAAAGGATAACATAGCTTGAAACAGACTTTTGACTAAGATAAACTTCAATGATTATAGGGTTTAATAATCTTTGATTCAAAGAATGAGAAATTATCCCTTAAGGAATTTCAGGTAGTAAAATTTGTACATAGTAAGACGTGGGAGACACCCTCCCTGTCTACCCCTCTTTTCTCCTACTGTAACAAATTAGAATAAGAAGAAATGAGACCAGGGCCATGGTAGAGATTCAGTAAGAACTAAGGCAATATTTACAGTTTTGTGTGTTTTTTTTTTTTTTTTCTGGTTACTAGGGACAGTGACTTGGGTACCCAGGGTGACTGCAGTGATGGTAATAGCTCAAAGGGAATATCAATATTTTTAAAGGAAAAATATATAATAATAAAAAGGTTAATACTAACAATATGTAAGATAGGATAAAGAAGATCAATAAGGTCTTTGTGTTTACAAAATTGTACATGTTTAGAAGTCTGAAGAGTGGGAGAGAGCCAAAGCATAAGAGACTGTTGAGAACTGAGAACAAACTAAGGGTTGATGGGGGGTGGGAGGGAGGAGAGGGTGGGTGATGGGTATTGAGGAGGGCACCTTTTGGGATGAGCACTGGGTGTTGTATGGAAACCAATTTGACAATAAAT